CCCATGTCCTTCATCTCAAACTCTTTACCAAGTTGAGATTTCAACCTATCTATCTCCACCCCGCTCTTAGAAGCAATAAGCATGTCATCCACATACAAAAGGAGATAAATATAATCACCTCCACGAAGCTTCCGAATGTAAACACAACAATAATAGTCGCTTCGGGAAAACCCATGCTTTAGCATGAAGGAGTCAAATTGCTTGTACCACTACCGAGGAGATTGCTTTAGTCCATAGAGTGACTTCCTCAAGCGACATACATGATGCTCCTTATCCTCAACCTTGTAGCCCTCAGGTTGATGCATGTAGATCTTTTTATCCAAGTCTCCGTGCAAGAAGGCCGTTTTAACATCGAGTTGTTCCAGCTCAAGATCACCATGAGCAACAATACTCAATAGCACCCGAATAGAAGTGTGTTTCACCACCGGAGAAAAGATCTCATTGTAATCCACACCCTCTCTTTGTGCAAACCCTTTAGCCACTAGCCTCGCCTTGTACCTTGTACCACCGAGCTCTGAAGGATCTTCCTTTCTCTTATACACCCACTTACAACCAATAGCTTTTCTTCCTACGGGCAATGGGACCACCTCCCATGTTTGGTTCTTCCGAAGAGATTCCATCTCCTCCTCCATCGCAGCCAACCAACTCTCACTATCCTTGTCCCGAATAGCTTCCTTGAAGGAGATCGGCTCATCTTCCTCCACCGAGAGTGCGTATTCAACCAAATTAACGTGCCCATAGTGCTTCAGGGGTTGATCAGCCCCCAGCTTTTGTACCTGCTTGTATACTCGCTTTGGCCTAGTGGAAGCCAAAGTATCCTCGAGCTGCTGTTGTTGTAGTGCCTGTGTATTCTCCTACTGAACCTCCTCTTGCTCAAGCTCATCATCTACCTGATTTTCTACTTGAACATGACTAGAACCTGGTTGGTCTTTAGGTTCTATCTCAATAACCTGGGACTTTGAAGTCCCAACAGTCCCAACACCATCATCCTTGGGCGCCCTAGCAATCATGGATTTTTCATCAAAGGTAACGTCCCTGGTGATCACGAACTTCGAATCTTCTGTATACCAAAGGCGGTAGCCTTTTACGCCCTTTGCATACCCCAAGAATATCGCCTTCTTGGCTCTCGCGTTAAGCTTTCCCTCGTTGACGTGATAATATGCGGTACATCCGAAAATTCTGAGCCTCTCATAATCTGCATGTTCCCCTGACCACACCCTATAGGGTGTATCACCATCCAATGTCGAATGTGGAGAACGGTTCACAATGTAACATGCTGTAGCCACCGCTTCTGCCCACCATTCGTTGCCCAATCCAGCATAAGATCGCATACTCATTGCCTTCTCCCGCAATGTTCGGTTCAGTCTCTCCGCGACCCCGTTCTGCTGTGGTGTTGACCTGACTGTCCAGTGTCGAACAATGCCCTCCTGATCACAGAACTTCTTGAAAGCACCATCTGTATACTCTGTACCGTTGTCAGATCTTAGTGTCTTCAATTTCTTGCCCGTCCTGTTCTCAACCATTGCTTTCCACTTCTTGAATGTCTCAAATACCTCATTCTTATGCTTAAGAAAATAAATCCAAGCATATCTCGAATGATCATCTATGAACGAGACAAAATACCTGGAACCACCCTTGGAAGTTGTCTGAGCCGGACCCCAAACATCTGTGTGCACATAATCTAGTATACCTCTGCTCTTGTGATTGCTTTTCAAGAATTGGACCCTGTGCGCCTTTCCATACACACAATCCTCACAAAAATCCATGCAAGGTTTCTTCAGATTCTTCAGCAAACCCTCCTTACCAAGCAGAACTAGACCCTTCTCTGACATGTGCCCAAGCCGCCTATGCCATAACCGTGTGTGTTCACATGGGTCTCCACCACTTCCTTTAGTTCCAACCGCTGCATCTCCTGTCACCGTCTTACCCGAGAGAGTATATAGATTACCGTGACGAACACCCTTCATCACTGTTAGGGAACCTCGAACAACCTTCTTCACTCCGTTCTCTGTAACAATCTTGCAGCCACCGGAGTTCAATGCACCCACTGAGATAAGATTCTTCCGCAAGGCGGGAACGTGCCGCACGTCCTTCAGAGTTCGAACCACTCCATCATGCATCTTGATTTTGATATCACCTAGCCCCACCGTTTTACAAGCATGGTTGTTCCCCATCAATACGGTTCCATCATCAATGCTCCTGTAGGTAGTAAACCACTTCCTAATTGGACACATATGGTAAGAGCAACCAGAATCAAGAATCCACTTCCCGGAGGTATCCTCGCCACCCTTGACGACATAGCATTCCTTATCGCTCCCTTCCTCCGATGCGTAACTCGCCTCTTCCTTGCCTTCTCTTCTCTCGGTCTTGTTGTTGTTCCTTTTCCCACCTACTCTCTTGTTAGGACAGTCGACCTTGAAATGCTCAACTTCACCGCATTTGAAGCACACTCTTCCCGCAAGAGGTCTCGATTTAGATCTAGACTTTCCTCCCTTGCCTTTTCCTCGCTCATTGCTCCTTCCTCTAGCAAACAATCCATGCGCTTGTTCTTTGTTATCACTAGTAGTCATGTCACTGGTTGCAATCTTCCGAAGGTCATCCGCTAGAAGCGCCGTTCTAGTCTCATCCATCGTCAAATTGTCTCCCACAAGCATCAGTGTTTGCACCAGGTTCTCATAAGACTTCTCACATCGATGTCCTTCAGATCCGATATAATCCTATCGAACTTGTTGATATATTCCCGGATTGATGAGCCCTCCTCCATCTTGCAAGTATACAATTTGGATTTCAAATAGATCCGGTTCGTTAGACTCTTCGTCATGAAGGTGCTTTCTAACTTCGACCACACGCCCGCAGCCGTTTCCTCTCCATCTACCAAGAAAGCTACATCCCTTTCAAGGCAAAGGATAATCGACGCCCGTGCTTCCAGATCCAGCTCTTCCCAATCCTCATCCGACATATCATTGTGCTTCTTCTCTTTTCCCGCCAAAGCTTTGTGCAATTTCTACGAAATCAAAGAGTTCTTCATCTGCATCCTCCAATAAGAAAATCATTCTTCCCATTGAATTTTTCAATCTCGTATTTTCCCACTTTAACTGTTTTACTTGTTGACGCCATTCTCCGCTTGTATTAATAAATCCGCTTCTCTCAGGAAATTACCGAGCACCACCTCAAATCAGAAGCTATACCACTCCCAATCTGAATAACAGCTCTGATACCAATTGTTGGGCGCAGAGTCACGCCCACCACCGCGGAAGCGATATCACCTGAGAGAAAGTCCTGACTTTTATTGTCACAAAAGCACAAGTCAACCTCTATATTCTTGTTTCTCAAAGGAAACGAGAATAGATAATGAAATTCTTATTTCTCAAAGGAAACAAGAATCGAAAGTGATATATTTCATCAAAGTGAAATATACACTCTTCCTCTCATCAGCTCTAAGACCGAATATTGAGGGAACCTACAAGCAATAGCCAACAACCAGAAAACAATAAATACACGAGATTTACGTGGTTCGGCAAACTTGCCTACGTCCACGGGAGGGGTGAGGGGAGATTCCACTATGAGAAGAACACCGACGACTTGTACAATCCACAAGCTCGTCTCAAAGAAAAAAAAGATCTGATTTTTACCCAAAAGAAATAAACCTCTCTTTTGTAAAACCCTATTTTCTCTCTCCTCGAGATCTCTCTTTTTCTCTCTCAACAACTGCTGCAAGTACTCTTTTTCTTCCTCTACTCAGCAGTCAAAAGAAAACTACGATTTTCCCAGCAGCTTTTCACCAAGCCGCTGTTCCCTTTAGCCTTTTGTTCCCTGCTGCAGCCGATTAAAATTTCACCCACACACAAAACCCTAGGTATCATAGGTATTTATAGGAGATTGATGCGGTTAAAAAACAAACAAAAGTGGGCCTTGGCATTTACCCGCTGGGCATTGACCAAAAAACTCCTCACGCACACTTGGGTGGCCCCCACTTGTCACCGCTGTTCACAAGCACCAATGTTCTGAACTGTCAAAAAATCCCATAAAAACCTGCTTTGGTAAAAGAATCCCATAAAAATCAAAATGGTTTCAGCATTATAATTATGGAAACAATATTTGATATTTGTAAAAATCAGAGGAAATTGATATAAATAAATAAAGTTGTATCTAAGTATAATATTTTTATAGGAAACCTTTCATCTTTTCAAATTATAATTATACATTTTTTAACTTTTCAATTTTGCAAACCTTTTAAATTTTATCAACATTATTCATTATTATGCTTCAGTGAAACTTTATGCATAATTAAGTAGACATGCATCATGCGCAACGAGAGTACTTTAGGCAAAGATTCTTTTGTTATCCAACTGACAAAAGTTTTCTTTCAAGTCTTGAGATTTTCATTCAATCTTGGGGGGGGGGGGGGGGGGGGGGGGGGGGGGGGATGGAAGGTCAGACTAGTAAGAAAAACATTCCTTGACATATAAAAATATTTCAATCTACTCATCTTCATCTTATAAACTATTCATTTTGTTGGAATATAAAATTATAATTATCAACCTTACCACTACAAAGTTATGGTGCAATAACGACAATTTTAGATATTTAAACACGGATGTATATTGGGTTTTATAGATTTTAGTCCATTAACCTTCTATTGAAATATTAATTATGCTATATAGTTCGTTAACCCCAATTACTCACATCAAATTAGTGTTTCTGTTAGTATCTCTATGCAACAGACTAATCTTAGTTGGATTAGTGCTTCA